TGAGCGGGAACCGGTCTGTATGTGGGATCCGAACCCTCGGCGGGAGTGCCGCCACACTCCCGAGCGGCGCACTGTAGCAGTGCGCCACCTGGCCGGCCCCTAAAGCAATTCTATTATCTAGCACAACTTTAGCCAGAGAATTTAAAGTCTGTTTTGCAATCACAGTCTTTGTAATAGAATCTGCTATGGAGCTTATTAGGAGAGAGAAATTTCTAATCATTGCCTCATTGAAATTTACTCCAAGCCATGGAAAAGGGGAACTAACAAATGATGCCCATCTGTAGAGTGAAGCCTTCCTGCCAATGTCCTCCTTAACCTGTGATGGTGGTTAAGATGAGTGAACCGATGTTCTGGCTTTGACTTATGGAGCAAGAAATGTATTAAAATTCCTAGGCCACATCGGCCCTTGGTCTTTTATCCATCAAGGCATAAGTTTGCCCATGTGTAAGACTGGCTGTGAAATCCTCTGTAAATAAAAGTATAGCCCGTGGGTGCATACACGACCCCCTTTCTGGGTCTATTGTTCATGGATGCATTACTTGGAAGGGTAAAATTGGCAGTTTCGAGCCAAGCGTCTGAGGCAGAGTTACCATAGGTTACAAGAGCACGATAGAACCCTGGTACATAAATCAGTTTGCAATAAACTCCATTTGGGCTTCTGGTGGAAACCTGTCTTGTGACGTCCTCATTGGTCCTGGTTCTTGGATCCCATTACTGAGTTAAATTAAAACAGGGAGTGAGAACAAGTGCGTCTAGAAATCTTAGCACCAGTACGATGTGAACAACAGTTCTGTTAGGATGCTACAGCGATTAGCTACTGGATAAACTAAAGGATCCCTGAGGTCACGTAAAGATCTGGATTTGTCATGGCTGATCCAACACTCCATCAAATTACCTGAAGAACCTACTAATTGTGAAATTCTAATTATAGCATTATCCAGCTGAACAAAAGAAGTAGGCATAGGGAAGGAAAAATTAAGGGAAGTAAGAGTTTAATGATGGCAGAGAAGTCATCGTCTGTGATCTTTGGAAAGCTGTCGATATCTAGGATACCTTATTTAGGATGTCATCTGCTTCCAAGCAGAAACTTCCCTATTTAGCTTTGCCTTAAGGTCTCCAATCAAAAGACCTTTATAAAGACAACACGAGGCACACAGAATCTGTTTCTGTATCTCTTTCTCTTTTCTCTCTCTCTATCTTCTTCGAGTTTACTCATAAGGCAAACAAAATTTATTTACTGTCTCTTATTAATACTACAGGAAAATTTTGTTTAAAAAGGAAAACCAGATTTGTATTAGTGTGCTTATGATATTAGGGCTCAATTTTTAAAAAATCAATTATGATAAATGCATTTAATCTTGGTCACTTTAACCACACAAGATTTTCTTTTGCTGTTTCTTTAACTTTCTATATTCATCCAGTTTTATCTCTATAATTCCTATTTTTATTTCTTAATTTTGAAACAACCTTTAAAAAGCATCCAAACTAGACAAAATTACTTTTCTTTTAACAAAAACCACATTTTTATGCCTTCCTAATAAACTTTCTCACCAAAAACATATCTTGCTTTTTTTGTACACTTTGCATACAGAATTGTTTTCCTTATTTTTAGGAGTTTTAATTAC